TCTGCTAATCTTTCTAAGATATATAATAATATCAAATGCTAAGTAGCCTCTAGGAGCTCAAATTTCAATTGTAAAGGTTGTAAACATGATAATATAAAATCTCTTTTTAATAATTATTCAATTCAAGTTTAATTAAATGTGTTTAATAAAACGATAATAAATTAGGGGAATTTATAAATTACAAAATGAGAACTCTACATATAATAAAAATATACTCTTTAATTAAATAGAATGAATAAATTAGGTTCTGAAAATTTAATTACTATTTTTTTCTAGTGATTTTTCTGCGTTTGAATAAAAGCTAGGAGATCAAAACAGCGAACTGGGTGATGGAAATATTTTAAAGAGAATCAATTAGGCATTGTAAAGTAAATATATAACCAGAAGAATTTTGCCCTATTTTGATACTGTACTGCTCATGAACAACAATGTGTAATATTTTGAAATATATAGAAAAATTCCTATATTATTAAAAAGTGCGAAAAACAAAGTGAATTAAATTTTTGGTTATTTAGAATTCATAAATATCAAATATGCACTTATGGATAATTGTAATTAAATTTCAGCTTATCAATAAATGTTATCGCAACAATTAATTAGTAAAAAATAAGATTGCTGGTTTCTAAATTAGGTTAAAGCTCTTGTAAGTAGAGAATTAAAGATCAATATCTTAAAGGACTAATGTATAAATAAATAAATTATATTAAGAATTTCAACCAAATTTCTATTAATTTTAGTATTGACTCAGAGCTTCTGAAGAACAGATTTCGATCTAAATGACTGTTTAATGTAAGGCTCAGAAAATTTATAAGATTAATATTTAAAGTCATTTCTGAGACAAGTTTAAAAAAAATCTCAACTAAAGAAAATGTAGTTCAGCATTGGAGTCCTAAATGTTCTTCTCTTCATTGAGCCCAAACATGTTCTAAGAATTTTAACAATCAGTAAGTAAAATTTCTTGATATCAATCATGAAGCTGGAGAAATCAAGCCTTTTCAACCAACAAAATTATAACTGAAATTGGTAAATTCTGACCTCCTAAAGTTGAAACTAGAATCTTGTAACTTATGGTTACATTTGCCTTTTTTATATCTTCTCACAATTCCACCTTCATCGACTCATTTTTAGAATATAGTTTTTTTCTTTATTTTTCAAACCTCACATTATTATTAATAATTTTCATCTCTAATATTGATGAATTTATAAAGAAGATCCCATTGTTAAATTTTTTGTATATTTGAAAATCTTTTAAAATTACTTAACATTAAATTTACAACCATCTTTGTATTTAGAGGTTGTTTTTAAACACTTAACAATATACAGATTTAACACTTATGTATCCAATCCCTATTATTACACATTTCTAAATACTCATCAGGATTTTACAGGATTACTTTATGAGTGCTTTTTTTTCAGAAATTATCATTTTTAATTATTTTTGGATTTTGTTTCTTGTCTTAATGAGAATCAAAATTTTGATATTATTAGTAAATACCGTCAAAGCAGTAAGTTGATTAGCAATCAATACATAATCTTTTCCATATTTGCCTGAATTACCAATCTCTGATACTATTATTTTGCTATCTACCAAGAAGGTTGGGTAAGAAAATGCTTAATCCTCAGACTATATTTAGAGATTTTACCTCCTATTTGATTTCTGGTTAATATGAATTGATATTTGAAGAAATATAAGTAAATTAGATTATGAATTAATTAATATTTAAACCAAAACCAGAAAATAACAAATTTCTATAGAAACAAGAAATTAAAGAAAGTGAATCCTCAAATCATAAAAAGAATACTTGTGCAAATCAAATCTGGAAGGGAATTAATCTCTTCCGAAAGCAAACTAAGGATAATAACTAATCAAATTATAATATATTTAATTTATTGAATATTCAATTCTTTACTATCATAATTCAACTTCTGAATTGATATACCTAAAATTTCTTGTCTTGTATTTAACTTTAAGGACAAAACATAATAGCAATATTAGAGTAATCAAAAATAGAATATAGGCAGATGGACCGAAGTCAAAATGAAACTTTGGAGGCAGATTAAATTAAATGTTGTAAAAGCCAGATGAAAATTGGTTTCTGCAGTTGATAAAAATGTTCATATAATCTTCTCGTGAATTAGCAAGACATGTCAAATTCGAAGTACCTATTGCGCAACTCCAAATCTCTGAGCCAGAAATGTATAGAATTGTTCCTTGATTTTATTATTAATCAAAAATTATTGCATAATCAGATATTGAAGTAATAAATGAACCTTACATCAAAATGGGTTCTATTAAGTTTTCATTTAACAGATTATTCAAAGAATAAATTCCAACTATATATTAATTTTAGTTTGAATATTGAAATTGCTGAGCCAAAATTCCATTTTAATAAAAAGAATTACCAGTATTGATTAAATTCCCATAATTTGGAATAGTTCTTATTAAAATAGCTTTTTATTAGATCTTTTTTTAATTGTGAATTTTCAAAATTTCTTCTAGATTTATTTTTGTGCTTGAAATATAACTATATTATGTATCACTCACAATAAATAATAAAAATTTATTGGTCGATGAAATAATTAGAACTGATGTATAATTCATAAACATAGCTTAACAGGTTTATTACTTTTAGCAAATATCAATTTAAACAAATACTTCGTTATAAAATTTGATTTTTTCATTTTTAATAGACATTATTTTATAAGATGGTTATTAATTGAATATATAGAAAATAATTACTGAGTTTAATTAATTTCCTTTTATTAATTGCATTTACGAAAGCGAGAAATCTGTACAAGGGAAATAAGATAAAGATTAAAACATGTTGCTAGATTAGTTAAACCAGTACAAGGATTATTATTCATTATTAAAGCTACCTAGAATAAAAATTTAGTTCAAAATGGTGCTCATTTTAGAAATACTCTAAAACTGTTAGAAAAGTTAGATTGTGTTACTTAGTTCTACTTTATTATCCTAATCGAAAGTAAAGTTAAGCAGATATTATGAAGTGCTATTTTAACAAATTGAATATAATGTGTAATTAGATGATGTTGATTTTAGGCAAATTATCTAATTTAAATTTGAATAGTTCACAACCATTACAAACTTTAAGGTATTATTGAAAGTTTAAATGAAAAAGTTATTCTGTAAAGCAAAGAATTAATTATTTATTGAAGTAATTAAGGTAAAATTGTTGAAATTCTTAATGCTCATTTCGTTAGTACCACTATTATCAGTAATAACGCAATATCGGTTTAAATTATTGGTTTGGTTATTAGTTTCTAAAATACAAAATTGCACTTATCTATCAAGAATTAAATTCATTGGATATGAGAAACTCTTTAACTCAGGAATTATATTATCTGAACTTAAATTGACAGAATAATGTTAATAATATTAAAATACTGTGAAATTTGAATTTAAAGTAATACTTTAATTAGGAGTCTATTAATAGGTATTCTCATTTAATGCTGAAGTTACATTATAATTATAAATAAATGTTGGGTAAAATTTTGAATAGTTTAAAGTTTAATTTTAATCTGTCTATGACAACTCAAATTCCTATTAACTCTAAAGTTCTTAAATAGAATTGTTTGAATGAAGAATCATTATTGATTTGATAAAATGGCTAATGCTGTATGAATTTATAAGCGCCATAGAGCATTAAATCGGTGATTAAAATTCTAATTTATAGTATAAACTCATGTGATAAGGTAACTAAGGGTTATAAACATAAACTGTGTAATTGCTAAAAGTAATATATAAGAACAGGTTATCAGATTAAATATTTACTATATTATCACTATTTAGACTATATAGATTCTTTACATAATAATATTTCTGTAAATTTTACACATTCCAAACTTAAAAGCAAATATCTTGATCATTATTACATTCATATGATAGAATTAATTGATCATAAATTAAATTTACCTATTTGATAGCGAAATTAACATGTATTAAGGAAACTGGTATTGGAAAACTATATTAATCAATTAATATTATAATGACTTCATTAATATTGTTGATATATAAGACAGCTGCCACTAATTCTGCATTCACAACTATTTATATTGGATTGAAATGAATATTGTTGAAAAGTCTATTTATTGAGGTTTCATTTAAAGAAAAAGTATTTGTAAAATTCAATGTCATTATTTCAATTTCTTGATTGGAAATCAGAATTATAATACTATTAGATGTTACTACAAAATCTAAGAATTATTTTTCAAAAGTCTAATTTGAAAAACTAATAATTTTATGGTTCGAAAGTAAGTATTAAAATAAATAGATTGTATAATTACTATTGAGTCCAATTATAATCATTTATGTATTAATGCTTTAGGCAACTTATAAAGAACTTGCATTAACAGAAATTTGAATTGAATTAGATAAAATGCAATTGGGGTATATTTATAAATATTCAGAAATACATAGCAAAACATCAATTGAATAATTACTATATCCGATTAAATAAATAACGTATTCTTCATATTATTGCAATAATTATACTAATTGATAACTCTTTTAAATATCTACAAATTTTTTTGAGGTCATTTATATAAAATTTAAAGGTATTCCATCTGGATTTAGTTTATATTGTAATAATTATCCTGAAAAGCTTGAAAAATTTTGTGTAAGTGAATTGCCCAATAAAGTTTGATCTTATGGAAAATCTTAATTAAACATTACATATACATTTGTATCATTCTAGGATAATACTTAAAGATAATTTTAAGAAGAGATAAAAAATTTTTAATCATCAATTGTTTGAAGATAAAATTGTTTTTAGCAAATAAATGAAAAGGTATAATTACTCCCTGTAACATTAAAATTCGTTAAGTTAACTTATAAAGAACTAAATTAAATTGTCTAAACTATAATATGAGAATTAAATGAGAATAATTCATTATCAGAATTGAAATATAATAGGGAATTAGGTAAATGATTTCGATTATTTGCAAGGTGTTAAAATGTCCATTTTTCTTAAACTGATATTTTATTTTATTATTAATATAATATAAATAAGTTGTTTTAGAAAACTTTCACTGTTTCTTAAAAATACTCCCTATGCTTTAAAATTATTAAACTTTCACATCCTCGTAGAAAAGCTATCTGATATTCTGAAGATAGTATTATTTGATCACATTAATTATAACTCCTTAAATTGTAATAAGCATTAACAAAAGTAAAATTAAACAAATAAAAAGAGGATGTAAAATTGGATTTTTTATAAAACTGAGAATCTGAAGATATGGATATTTAAAGTAATTCTGAAGAAGTAATTGCATAAATGTTAGGGCTTATTGTAATTGGGATATCAAAATCGACAAATTAGTTATTTATGTTACTTTAGTTTATAAAAGATGATGATATTAGTGATAACATCGAATAATTCTCAAAAAATTAGCCATAGACTATAAAATGATTTGTTCCATTAATAATTGAATACATTTTTGTTGAAGTAGGTATAGATGATTACATCGAATACGCAATTGTTGATTATGTATCTTTTAATTGAATTAAAATGAATTCATTATTCTAATAACAATCTATCAAGATTGAAAATCTTTAAGACAAATTAATGTTAAAGCATTTAAATATAGAATTGATTGTCACAGATTCCCCAATTTAATTCATTATCTAATTCTTCCATTCATACATAATGATTTCATTTTCATTTGACAAACCAACAAAATGTGTATTATTGGATGAAATTGATCTAAATTCTATAATTACTTTATGAATATTTACAATTCCCTTATGTATGGTATATTTCTTCGAATACATTCACTACTTTTATAAATGGAACTTAAGGATTGATTTTGCATATTAAACTACCATCTAATTTATACTCATAAAATTCTCCTTCTGTTGGGTACAATGAAATCTCTTAATTTAGATTTAAAAAATTGAGTTTAGCCCAGGTTGGATTGAATAATAAAATGATTATTAGCATGTAAATTTATTAATAAATTATTATCATTCATTTTCGAGAATTTAATATAATAATTGCTAGAATTACAAAAAATTAACAAAATTTGAAATACAGTATTATTTTACTCGAGTGATGGAATAAAGGTAATTCTTTTTTTTTCTCAAACTTATTTTATTGATTAAATTAAATATGAAGGAAATATTCATAGTTAAACTGAAATTCAAGTTTGAATAGCAAAAAATAAAATTATGATATCATTTTATTTTGATTATCAATTTTAGAAAGAAATGTTGGACTTATCCGCACGGAAGCACGCTTATTTTTTATCTACTAATAATAAATACATCGACTGATCTCAATTTTTAGTTAGTTTTGATCATCTTTCAATTAATTTGTGAAGTTTGAAATCTTTGTATTAATTACAATGATTAATTTCATCATTATTACAATGATTAATTTCATCATTCAGAATGATAGTTTAAAAAAATAAGATTATAAACTTATTGAAAAAGAGAATATTTTTAATTTAAAGGTGATTATTTGCTTTTAAAATTTCATAAAACCTTCTGAGGTTATTATTTCACATTTTTTCTAACTTACTAATTCTCAATTAATTTTCATAATTCTTGTCTAATTTTTAAGTAAACCTGAATTGTGAATATGTATAGGTTGCATTTTTCATAGGTCCAACCTTGCCCATGTTTGAGTATTATTTACTTATTGATATTAAAATTATCTCTTTTATTAAATAGTGTGAGACATCATTTAATTGTATTCAAATATTCTTATCATCTATATTATCATTCATCAGAGTACTAAATTTAATTTAGGCCAAAAAATGCAAAGTCTTCTTTAATTATTTGATTTTTATCTTATTATATTATTTATAAGTCTCCAAAAGTCTTATAAATAATTCCAGATATGAATTTCATGTGTAAGAATCTATCAATATAATTTATAATTTAGTATCAGTCTAGAATTTTCTTTTAGATATTTGAAATTTAATCAAAATTTAACAAAATTCGAACATGATTTTGTTTCGTTACTTCATTTCAAAAATTCCTTGAATCTTATATCTTATTGATTTTAAGTGTAAAATTATTATATATAAATATACAAATGATCTGAAATATGATTAGCAGAGAAGAGAGAATTAGTAAACGCTGAACTTCCAAATTTTAATTAAGAATTTATCAGGATTCTCTGAAAAACTTTGGAAATTTAGATCATTTTATATGAAGTGGTTAAATGCAGAGAGAAACTACCGCGAAACCGAAGATATTATGCCAAAAAAGTCAATCAATTTTGATTATTTAGAAAAGAAGCAAAAGTATTTTTGTAATTGAGATTTTAAAATATATTAAATTAATTTGATAAGTTTTTCTAATTTGCTTGATTTTCATTAGAGATTAAAATTTTGGTAGAATGGCAGTAATGAATGAAAGCTGAGTTTATTCTGATTTTCTATTTATACTGCCAGTGATCAATATAGGCTTGAATAAAAAAAGACATCCAAACTGGCTATAAATTATTGAATTGTTTATATTTTATAGTTAACTAATCAAAAAGAAAAGATTCAAAACTATCTTAGAAGATTTTTAATTTTTTAACTCTTATTGAGATATAGCTTCTTTAGAACTAGCAATTTTGATCTCCATCCTTGTTTTGGCAGTTTTTACATTTACCTAATAGAATCTTTTAATGAAAAGGTTGTGAGTTCTGTGTTTTATATAATTTTAAGCTTAAACTTTTTTTTTTTTTTTCAATTTGTTAGCTTATTTTACTTCATTTCTTATTAATCTATTTTAGAATCTTATTTAAATGTAACTCCATAGTTTTATACATAATGGTTATGATATTTGAACAAAACTGATGTTGTCAGATAACTTTAGGATTATCTAAGATTGTAGAAATATTTTTGGAAAAGTAAGCATATAAGAAAAAGCGAGGAATATATTCAAAGGCTTTTCGTTTGCTTATTCATAATCCCTATTTTATTCCTACTCTTAATTTTTGCCCGATATTCTCTTAGATTTCTGATTTTTTCTAAAGTTTTACTAAATCCTGTTGTTAAGAACATGCAAGAATAGTATGATCGCATCAATATCGGAGAAATAATAATTGGAACCCCTAAAACTTTATGTTTGGCCCTATCTTCCATCCCCTGCTGGTTTAATTTTCATCTCCTTCATTACCTCCTCAAAAAACTCTCTAAGTCACTTTGACGGCCATCCATCCAGTAATATTTCATTCTTTTGATGATTCCTTCCTTATTCTTCTCCTCCCTCGTGTTACTAAAATTCTTAAAGTTTATCTTATGATTTTTCCTCCATACTAAGCCTTATATAGTGTTGGCACAAGACTTCTGACTCCTTTCAATTTTCTTCCTGGAGTAATTTATTCTCTATTTATCCAAGAAAGGGTTTCTACCCGGACGATATAATAACATTTTATTCTGATATTCATATTATAATTTTTTGTCCTATCATTTAAAATTTAAGTCCGATTCAAAATTAAAGGTAAAAGCGTATTTTAATATTTTCTGATGGTTTGAACATGATTATACAATTGAAGCATCATCACTAATTAGTTTCTTAGACTAAATAAGTTTACGAATATAATCAAAAATCATATCCTAAACAAATGGCATCACAAGAATCCTCAAAACCTTCTTTTAAAATTAATAAAATAGTTACTAACAGACGAAAAGGATTTTTGAATTTATTAAGAAAGCAAACTGATTAATAACAGAAGTCTTTATAATCATGTAATTTGGAGGTTACTCCTTTTGTTTTAGCCGGATAAATTCATACAAATAGAGTATACTTTTTAAGAATAAATTAAATACTATCATTTTGGTGAAAAATATTGCAGCGGATTTCATTTTGGATAATGGTGAGTTAGACTCATGTGGGCTTGGCAATGAAAGAATTGTCAGAAAGAGAGTTATTTTTTGAAATAATAATATAATCAGGAAGAATAATTTTATATTAAGAATGTGTATATATTAAAATCAGAATAAATACAATCTTTTTATTGTAGTGCATAATTTTATTTGATGCTTTTAANTTTTTTTTTTTTTTCAATTGTTAGCTTATTTTACTTCATTTCTTATTAATCTATTTTAGAATCTTATTTAAATGTAACTCCATAGTTTTATACATAATGGTTATGATATTTGAACAAAACTGATGTTGTCAGATAACTTTAGGATTATCTAAGATTGTAGAAATATTTTTGGAAAAGTAAGCATATAAGAAAAAGCGAGGAATATATTCAAAGGCTTTTCGTTTGCTTATTCATAATCCCTATTTTATTCCTACTCTTAATTTTTGCCCGATATTCTCTTAGATTTCTGATTTTTTCTAAAGTTTTACTAAATCCTGTTGTTAAGAACATGCAAGAATAGTATGATCGCATCAATATCGGAGAAATAATAATTGGAACCCCTAAAACTTTATGTTTGGCCCTATCTTCCATCCCCTGCTGGTTTAATTTTCATCTCCTTCATTACCTCCTCAAAAAACTCTCTAAGTCACTTTGACGGCCATCCATCCAGTAATATTTCATTCTTTTGATGATTCCTTCCTTATTCTTCTCCTCCCTCGTGTTACTAAAATTCTTAAAGTTTATCTTATGATTTTTCCTCCATACTAAGCCTTATATAGTGTTGGCACAAGACTTCTGACTCCTTTCAATTTTCTTCCTGGAGTAATTTATTCTCTATTTATCCAAGAAAGGGTTTCTACCCGGACGATATAATAACATTTTATTCTGATATTCATATTATAATTTTTTGTCCTATCATTTAAAATTTAAGTCCGATTCAAAATTAAAGGTAAAAGCGTATTTTAATATTTTCTGATGGTTTGAACATGATTATACAATTGAAGCATCATCACTAATTAGTTTCTTAGACTAAATAAGTTTACGAATATAATCAAAAATCATATCCTAAACAAATGGCATCACAAGAATCCTCAAAACCTTCTTTTAAAATTAATAAAATAGTTACTAACAGACGAAAAGGATTTTTGAATTTATTAAGAAAGCAAACTGATTAATAACAGAAGTCTTTATAATCATGTAATTTGGAGGTTACTCCTTTTGTTTTAGCCGGATAAATTCATACAAATAGAGTATACTTTTTAAGAATAAATTAAATACTATCATTTTGGTGAAAAATATTGCAGCGGATTTCATTTTGGATAATGGTGAGTTAGACTCATGTGGGCTTGGCAATGAAAGAATTGTCAGAAAGAGAGTTATTTTTTGAAATAATAATATAATCAGGAAGAATAATTTTATATTAAGAATGTGTATATATTAAAATCAGAATAAATACAATCTTTTTATTGTAGTGCATAATTTTATTTGATGCTTTTAATTTTTGGCTTGTTAATTATTTGATTAAGCCTATAAACTTCTTTAAAAAATATCTAAGCTCCTTAGTATTTCTTTTTAAGCTTGTATCTTTAAGTATTTTTGATTCATTCTTTGTAAACAGTTTCTGAATATTAATCAATACTAACTAAAGTTATCAAGACTTATGTGGTTAGAATTAAGCGAGAGTGCTTAATGAAGAATATGGCTTAGAGAGTTTTTAAGCCAAATGAGCATTTCTTAGGCTTTAGTTTTTATAAAGTAATTAATTTGAAAAGAATATTTGAAGAGAGTTCTACTTAGCAATTGTTAGATAAATAGAATAAGCTTATAAGCAAGGACACATTTATAATTGAGTTTTTTAAGTTACTCTAACTGGAAATAATAAGAAATTTAATACTCGATATTGATTTTTTGACATATCATTTAAAGTAATAATGATTATTTGATGCAATGAACATTGATTCTACCATTATTTTGTTATTTCTGGCAAGTCTTTAGATAAGTTTGTTAACTAACTCTTAATTTTGCTTACTTTGAGGATTTAGCTAATTTATAATAACATCAATATCAAATTATAGTGAAATTGTATTTTTTTTAAAGATATACTGCTTTTTTAGATTCGAATTCAATATACTTAATTTAAAAAAAACAATACTGCTTCTTTATAAATATAAAAAAATATATTTTAAAAAATCTGATTGATTGTTTGAATAAATCAGTTTTCGATCCTCTGAAAGATTTAAACAGACTGATATTCTGAGAAATTAAATTAACACACTGTTAGAATTTGAACCAATACTGAATCTAGAATTCTGATTAAATGGTATCTAAGGAGGCCATTTTTAAGGGCTGAAGGTGTAGCTTTTTAAAGGTATCTTAGTTGGAATCGCAAATTTAGTTACTTCCAAATTCAACTTAGCACATAGAACTTACTTATGCATTGCTTTCATATTATCTAAGAATCCTATATAGATTCATTGATATTTTAACCTTTTATATGAAAATTTAAATGAACTAAATAAACATTATCTATATCACAAGTGCATGAACCACATTCAATTAATAATCAAATGAGATCAACTTCTTTTAGAAGCTTAAGGGCGTAATTAATTTTTAGAAATTATCAATTAATCTAAGTGCGAATCAGATATTTAGAATTCGGCATTTTTAAAGCTAATATGTCTATTCAACTATCATATTAATATGAAACTATAGAGTAAATTAATTTGGGTTATCCATTAATTTGTTAGTTTAACCAATGAATCTTACCTCATACTAAACCCAATAAGCATCAGAAATTATAATGTATATAGTTTGGTATTTTTCGTTATTTTGATTATGTGGTGAGAGAGTCATTTATACTAGAAGGTTTCCTAAGTATTTCTTATGTCATTATCATAGATATATTCGAAGAGATGCTTGAAAAGTAGCTAGATCAAAGGTTAAAATTTAAGGGGAAGACAGATGCAATAAAAATTGCTTAGATAATATCAGATTAAATTTAAAGATTAAATGAGCCAATATGTTGAAGCATTACCTAAGGATTTAGAAATTTTTATTATGCAAACCAAGTCTAGGCAGATGTTCTATAAGCTAGAAATATTATGATAGTCTGTTTCATAATATTTTCATAATTTTTATGCATATAAAGTAAATAAAGAGAAGGTAATTTATTTTAGATTTCAAAATTTAGTTAATATGCTGAAAAGGTCGGAAAAATATATAATTGTTCAAAATTATTCATAAATGAGGATAAACCATTGGTGTTCTTTAACTTATGGAGAAAATTGTCCAAAGAAAGTTGTGTCGAAATGTCGAAAATAAACTTTATCGCGAGTAAAAGGCAATTCGGGTAAAAAATGATAACATAAAATCAATTTAAAGTTAAGAATTGCAGCACTGTTTCAGAATTATTTACAAATTATTAATGTTTGGATCATTACAGACTCTAAAGTAGTATTATAACAAGGCAGAAGAAATAAATTGTACTTCAGAAGCAAAGTACGGAAGAAAAATATTCGGCAGCCTATTATTAATAAGATTATAACTATCCTTTAAGTTGCAAATTTCTAGCTACAAAACTCATACATTATACTCAAAAGAAAATAAGTAAAGCAGATCAAATAATTTACTATGAAACTGTAAACTACTTAACAATACTTTATTAAAAATTAATACTTTTATTGCCTATGTGAAATGATATTTTAAAAATCTTTACTTTGAAAATAATGAAAAATCAATCCTTATAATTAAAAACTGCATATTTAATATTATACCAGAGTTAAATTAAAAGAATATACTTTGGTTTACATATTTTAATATTTTCGGATTAAATTTTAAAAAATCGGTCGCTATAAGTTAATTGATATCAATAAGCACTGAATTAATTATAGAAATTTTGCATTAATAATAATTATTTGATATGTTTTAACAAAGATTATAAAATTAGAATAATAATTTCAGTAGCAACAACAAGCATACGCAACTTATTCAAATGCTTATTTATAAAATAATATAAAGACAGAGGATTGTCTTCTATGTGCTATTTGCTTGGAAAATTTTGAAGCAGTTAATATAATAATCGGATTTAAAAAGAAACTCTAAATGATATAAGAAGACCAAAAGAATTGAGTAAAAATTAAATAAAAATGACTTAAATTTGATGTGGAATTGGTAGAATAAATGTTGAAGGAACTACATAAATTAAAGCCATACTTTATATTATAATTTGATGAATTGATATCTAGCATTAACTAATGATGGAAGTTATTTTGTATAAGATTACTTAACTTGCAGGCTTTTTGAAAATACTATTTAAGCATTAAGGTAATAATTTTGTATAATTTTGTAAAAACCAAATAATTTCCTTATTGTAATTAAGGATTAGTCTGGATTCAATTTAAATTGATATTAGCAAGGCATTGAGCATGTGATACTTTTAACACAAAAATATAATTGCATTTAGATACTACACTTATCCAGCTCTATCTTATTATAAATGTCTCTGCATGCATGGCTGGAGATTAATAACTCAAAAATTTGAAAAAGAAAAATGAAGATTGCTTCTTGTATTTTAAGATTCTTTAGCAATGTTTCAAATTCGGTGATCTATGTTATAGAGACAATAGAGTTGCTTAGATTTTATTATCATAATATCAATTTAATTAGATCCATAAAATGTTGAATATCACAATTCTAAAGGTTTAAATAATTATTTTAATTAGTTCGTGCACTATTCGAAAGTATTTAAGTAAAATTTATTCAACTAGAGATATATATTAACAATCAATTACTAAGATTTATCAAACCACAAAATTCTGCACAAATAATACTATTTTTTTAATTAATATTTTTGTAAATTCTAGTATTTTGATATTAGAATTAATATAATAATATTTGTTTTAATTGAGCAGATGTAAGTGTATCTAAATATCTTTTTTATAAGGTTCTCAAATTTTATTTGACAACCATTTAGACTTTTCTTCAAAATGGTAACTAGCATGATAGTTTATTTAAACTAATAGTTCAGCAATAAATAACAGACAATAAATACTGAATTTTCTTAATCACTCTAAATTTTTAAGGCTAATAATTATAAATCAAAAATTTCCCATTTTTAAGTACATCGCCTAAAATATTTTAATTTCATAATATTAATTATCCAATTCTAGATTATTTATAAATATTTTATGCTGTTTTTAGATATCACCTGCAAATTAAATATTATAAATTTGACTTTATTTTTTTTCTTAAAATGGGTCAACACCAATTTATAAAAATGATGCCTTTAATGTTATTCATAATCATTGATTGATTGCTTGCACATAAACTTAAGATGGATGAGTGCATAATAGCTATTATTTTGAAATAATTAAAAATAATAGGTAATATTCTAAGTTAAGTTTTTCAACTTTTTGATCTAGCCTAAATTTCTTTGTTCTGTTATTTAAACCGAGTTGAAAATTAAGGCTGGTATGCAAGACTTTAATTTCCTTAAATAAAAATCCTTTAGTAGAATACAAAAGGCATCTACCACGCCATTTTAAAACAATGTATTTCAAATTCTAAAATTTTCTTTCAAAATCATAATGACTTGCTTTTTACTCATTTTATTGATATTATTATAAAATATTCTTACTAATTTAGTTCCGTTTGAACCAATTTAGAATTAATTTATTTTGAAATCTAATTTTATTTTGCTGTGAATTATATTCGTTAATATAATTATTAAAATTCAAGTAACTCTGAATGAGTAATATATATATCTTTATATATTTTTCGGAGAAAATGTATTTCAAACTGTTTAGTTTTAATTTATATTCTTAATTTAAAAGGCATGTTTCTTTTATATAGTAACTTTATCAATATATATAATTTTATAACCTTGTCTTCAACCAAAAATGCAGTCCATTTTTTGCTACAATGAGGCAGCATGATTAGCCAGATGGTTTCAAGTTTTCAAATAATCTTTGATGGATGACGTCTTCATAGATTTAATTACCAAAATTTACTTCTATTTGCTTTATAAAATTACTCTGAACCCCATTTTATGTTTCTAGAACAAATGATTTCATACTATCTCATTAAATTTCAGAATTAGAATTAATTAATTGAAATTTTTCAATATTTAAATTATCAAAATATAATATGCAAACAACAAAAAACAAAAAGAAAATTTGTTAAATCCACAAATTAAAGATTATAGCAGTCGATTTGAAATCCTAAACTGGGATTGATGAACAATACTTATGCGCAAGGTGCTTAACAGAAAAAGTTGATAATAAAAATATAAAATTGCTCAATGATGCAACAGAAATGATTTAAAGCATGAGAACACAATCCTAAAATGTTGAGAAGGAAGAAAATTTACTAAGACTTAATATTTTTAAATAATTATAATCATCTATAAAGTCATTTAAAAATTACATAAAGACAGAACTTGGAAAAATGCATAATTTGATTGATCAATAAATAGATTAGATCCAAAATGTAATAGAATCAAAGGAAATAAAACAAGAAACTCAAAATTATGATGAAGATATTTAAATTCTTACAAAAAATTATATCGGAAACTTTAGTTGTAAAATACCAACAGAAACAACATAAAGAGATAAAGACTTGGCATTTGTATAATTAATCTAAGATGCGCTTTAATCTTTATAACAATCGTGGTATTTTAGCTAGATTATTGAATTAATAGATTAGATTAAATCCAATAAACCAATCATCTAATAAATGAATTTCACTAACATACCTGCAGTTGAATAACATGTAAGATGCATTCTTTAATTAGAAAACCCCTTGCCTCAATTATCTATGCAATAGACATAATAAGGAAATAATTATGCTGAATCTTAAATAAAAAGAGCCAGAATTTAGTAGGCTAGCGTGTGTAGAATGTATTGAAGAAAATCCAATCTAATATGTCAGTTTAAAAGAAGCAAATAAAATATGGAATTAAATGATGGTACAATAAGAGGACTTAATTTCTAAACACAATTTACAAAGGAAAATAAAATTCAATATAGCTATCTAAGAAATCAAGCAATTAAAAGACTAACTTAACGCTTAATTATAATAAATGTTGATCTCAATTGATGAACAGTTAATTAAGAATAAATAAGACATTAAAGATGTTATTAAATCAGAGAATAAATAAATATTTGAGTTCGATGAAGAATAAGTTGAAAAAATGATAGAGTTATTAAGTTAAAACGATTCAAATAAACATATTTTTGAGTAAAAAGTGAGACAAGATAATCTTGATTATTTATTTTATCAGAAATTAGAATAAGAATTAGCGAATATAATAAATTATGATTTGTTTTAGAAATAATAGCTAGTAAAAATTTTCGAAGTAGAATTAGGTATTAATTTCTATTATCAAATTAAGATACCGTAGATATAATAAACAACATATCACCGANTTTAATTACCAAAATTTACTTCTATTTGCTTTATAAAATTACTCTGAACCCCATTTTATGTTTCTAGAACAAATGATTTCATACTATCTCATTAAATTTCAGAATTAGAATTAATTAATTGAAATTTTTCAATATTTAAATTATCAAAATATAATATGCAAACAACAAAAAACAAAAAGAAAATTTGTTAAATCCACAAATTAAAGATTATAGCAGTCGATTTGAAATCCTAAACTGGGATTGATGAACAATACTTATGCGCAAGGTGCTTAACAGAAAAAGTTGATAATAAAAATATAAAATTGCTCAATGATGCAACAGAAATGATTTAAAGCATGAGAACACAATCCTAAAATGTTGAGAAGGAAGAAAATTTACTAAGACTTAATATTTTTAAATAATTATAATCATCTATAAAGTCATTTAAAAATTACATAAAGACAGAACTTGGAAAAATGCATAATTTGATTGATCAATAAATAGATTAGATCCAAAATGTAATAGAATCAAAGGAAATAAAACAAGAAACTCAAAATTATGATGAAGATATTTAAATTCTTACAAAAAATTATATCGGAAACTTTAGTTGTAAAATACCAACAGAAACAACATAAAGAGATAAAGACTTGGCATTTGTATAATTAATCTAAGATGCGCTTTAATCTTTATAACAATCGTGGTATTTTAGCTAGATTATTGAATTAATAGATTAGATTAAATCCAATAAACCAATCATCTAATAAATGAATTTCACTAACATACCTGCAGTTGAATAACATGTAAGATGCATTCTTTAATTAGAAAACCCCTTGCCTCAATTATCTATGCAATAGACATAATAAGGAAATAATTATGCTGAATCTTAAATAAAAAGAGCCAGAATTTAGTAGGCTAGCGTGTGTAGAATGTATTGAAGAAAATCCAATCTAATATGTCAGTTTAAAAGAAGCAAATAAAATATGGAATTAAATGATGGTACAATAAGAGGACTTAATTTCTAAACACAATTTACAAAGGAAAATAAAATTCAATATAGCTATCTAAGAAATCAAGCAATTAAAAGACTAACTTAACGCTTAATTATAATAAATGTTGATCTCAATTGATGAACAGTTAATTAAGAATAAATAAGACATTAAAGATGTTATTAAATCAGAGAATAAATAAATATTTGAGTTCGATGAAGAATAAGTTGAAAAAATGATAGAGTTATTAAGTTAAAACGATTCAAATAAACATATTTTTGAGTAAAAAGTGAGACAAGATAATCTTGATTATTTATTTTATCAGAAATTAGAATAAGAATTAGCGAATATAATAAATTATGATTTGTTTTAGAAATAATAGCTAGTAAAAATTTTCGAAGTAGAATTAGGTATTAATTTCTATTATCAAATTAAGATACCGTAGATATAATAAACAACATATCACCGAAAAAAATTTAAATTGATTATTCTGAATTTTCAAATTCATTTAAATAAATTGAGGTTCCCTCTTTTTAGAATAACTTGAGTGCATTCACTCAATAAAATACAGAGGAAATAGATGAAATCCTTACAGAGAATCTTAACGAAAGCACATAATAGGATGAAGAGATGATGAAGATACAAACACTTAGCATTATTTCAAATAATTTTATTAGGTCGAGATAGTAGGATTTTCAAGAATGCAAAATATGCTATAAAAATTATAATTTATTTTCAGATGAAGCCATTATCACTCCTTGTTGCTATGTTAAGGCTCATTCTTTTTGTTTTTAACAGAATTTAAATGTCTAAGCATAGGAAAGCTTTAATTTTTCTGGAATTAATTGTTATATTTGCCAGAAACCGCTAAAAAATTATAAAGAGTATCTAAAACGAAATATTTCTCCTTAAATTTATATTGAAGTAATAAAAAGGGAAGTTTTAAAGAGTATATCTTTGAGATGCTATAAATGTTAATAACCGATTAAAGCAGGCTAAAACAACTAATAGCTCTTGATACTATGCTTAAACTGCAACACAAAAATTTGTAATCTTTGTTAATAAGAGTATCACGGTCAACTCTAACAAGTAGATTTGTATTTTAATTAGAATGAATAATGCCCAAGCATTTTAATTGAGATTCGGAAAGCACTTTGGGATGCTCCATGTATGGTTTGTCCAATCTGTTCGTTATTTCAAACTTATGATAATAAATCGAATCATGTATCGTGTTTTGCTTGCAGGTCATGTCTCTGTGGAGATTGCTCTGTTGATAGATAACCAATATTGGGTCATGGCAATCATTACCATAGAGTGGATTGTCCAAGTTATTAACCATGGATAAAAAATGGCAAAGTAATTTTAGATCCAGAATTTGATAGAAGAAATTGTGATAATTGCAAAAAAAGCGGGAAACCATGTTTGTATCCAATAAGTTTGTAAGAGTACAAAAAGTTAAAACACTATTGATATTTTCAAAATATTATTAAAACAATTATAATCATTTGATAATAATCAAAACTAATTATCTTTACCCATTTCTTTTGCGAGCAGAAACCTAAATCAATTACATAATTATTGGAAAACCTTTAAAGATACTAATCTTCTCTATATAAAATAATTAAGTTTTCCAATCTGGCAGGGGTACTATAGTATAAAAGTCTGATTGTGATCAGAGAGGAATATTGTATTGTTTTTTTAATAAAAAATTGCTTAGTAATTAATTTATACATCATATATTTTTGGAGAGTGCTTACTTAAGTATGAATTACAAAATAGAATTAGCTAAAAAGAAAATATTGCTCAAGAAAGGATCTTATTTTGATTAATTGAATGATGGTTAGAGTATAGATCAGTTATATCTTATGAAGCATGTGATAATCAATTTCATACTTATTGTGTGTGATATTTCGAAAATTTTCCAAATGTGAAATGACTCTAATATAAAAAATTCATAAAGTTAATGAAATTCTAATAGTTGGTCATAATGTTGTTGTTTTGGAATGTATGATGAGAATAATTATTTTCGTCCTAAACTACTTTTTTGATCTCAGTTATCTATAAAGAAATTCCTTAAACTATTGAAGAAGTATGAAAAGAGAATTCCTAATCAAATGAAAATATCTAATCTAATCAATATTTTATCTTCGTTAATGGATTATGTGAAATTTGTATATTCAAGCTAGGGTTAATGTAAAATAGAATGGCAATCACAGGAATGGTGGAAATGGTTTCTCATCTTAATATAAATTAAAAGATCCCTCAACTCGTTTAATTAAAGAAATTCCTTCGAATATGTATAAACTCATGCAAAGTCATACATTATATCACCTTGAGTCAAAAAATATTTTGCCTAGGCGTTGTAAAATACTCTTCTCTTCAGCTCCAGTTTGTTGAAACATCAACTTAGATTTCATTAAAACATTTTATTGAATTATTTTGATTATTTATTCTTGGTAAATTAATATGACAGTTAATTATTCTTCTTACCTAAAGCATCGTAAGCCTCTTATTATTTTAATTTAGTGGAAAATAATTAATTATTGCTAATACTCGAAAAGATTAATATGATTTATTCATTTTTAACTTTAAATTTAATATCAAAGAAAATTGAATCAATCTAAAGTTTATCCTTCAAAATTATTTATTTTATGTTTTTCCAAAATGAAAAATAGTTAACGAATATTTACTTTTGAAGATTTTAATAATAATACTCCTTTTTGATCCCTTCTATATGTGATTTCTAGAGATTAAAGGATAACTTAATAAATTAATTTCAAGTAGAACTTACCATATCTTCGCCCTTCTAAAGAGTTAATTTCAGCCACCCTAATAATTTTATAACTTATCAAATATGCATTACTTTTCGTTAAATTGTAATTCCAATCAAAATATCCTCAATAATATAATACTTGTTTACATTTTATTTTTCTGATATCTCAGCTTTACTAATTTAGTCTCAAAAGTCTAAAGTAATAAAATGGTTTGGTCAGCTTTATAAATCAAATCAATTAAAAAAATAGCATCAAAAAAANACTGCAACACAAAAATTTGTAATCTTTGTTAATAAGAGTATCACGGTCAACTCTAACAAGTAGATTTGTATTTTAATTAGAATGAATAATGCCCAAGCATTTTAATTGAGATTCGGAAAGCACTTTGGGATGCTCCATGTATGGTTTGTCCAATCTGTTCGTTATTTCAAACTTATGATAATAAATCGAATCATGTATCGTGTTTTGCTTGCAGGTCATGTCTCTGTGGAGATTGCTCTGTTGATAGATAACCAATATTGGGTCATGGCAATCATTACCATAGAGTGGATTGTCCAAGTTATTAACCATGGATAAAAAATGGCAAAGTAATTTTAGATCCAGAATTTGATAGAAGAAATTGTGATAATTGCAAAAAAAGCGGGAAACCATGTTTGTATCCAATAAGTTTGTAAGAGTACAAAAAGTTAAAACACTATTGATATTTTCAAAATATTATTAAAACAATTATAATCATTTGATAATAATCAAAACTAATTATCTTTACCCATTTCTTTTGCGAGCAGAAACCTAAATCAATTACATAATTATTGGAAAACCTTTAAAGATACTAATCTTCTCTATATAAAATAATTAAGTTTTCCAATCTGGCAGGGGTACTATAGTATAAAAGTCTGATTGTGATCAGAGAGGAATATTGTATTGTTTTTTTAATAAAAAATTGCTTAGTAATTAATTTATACATCATATATTTTTGGAGAGTGCTTACTTAAGTATGAATTACAAAATAGAATTAGCTAAAAAGAAAATATTGCTCAAGAAAGGATCTTATTTTGATTAATTGAATGATGGTTAGAGTATAGATCAGTTATATCTTATGAAGCATGTGATAATCAATTTCATACTTATTGTGTGTGATATTTCGAAAATTTTCCAAATGTGAAATGACTCTAATATAAAAAATTCATAAAGTTAATGAAATTCTAATAGTTGGTCATAATGTTGTTGTTTTGGAATGTATGATGAGAATAATTATTTTCGTCCTAAACTACTTTTTTGATCTCAGTTATCTATAAAGAAATTCCTTAAACTATTGAAGAAGTATGAAAAGAGAATTCCTAATCAAATGAAAATATCTAATCTAATCAATATTTTATCTTCGTTAATGGATTATGTGAAATTTGTATATTCAAGCTAGGGTTAATGTAAAATAGAATGGCAATCACAGGAATGGTGGAAATGGTTTCTCATCTTAATATAAATTAAAAGATCCCTCAACTCGTTTAATTAAAGAAATTCCTTCGAATATGTATAAACTCATGCAAAGTCATACATTATATCACCTTGAGTCAAAAAATATTTTGCCTAGGCGTTGTAAAATACTCTTCTCTTCAGCTCCAGTTTGTTGAAACATCAACTTAGATTTCATTAAAACATTTTATTGAATTATTTTGATTATTTATTCTTGGTAAATTAATATGACAGTTAATTATTCTTCTTACCTAAAGCATCGTAAGCCTCTTATTATTTTAATTTAGTGGAAAATAATTAATTATTGCTAATACTCGAAAAGATTAATATGATTTATTCATTTTTAACTTTAAATTTAATATCAAAGAAAATTGAATCAATCTAAAGTTTATCCTTCAAAATTATTTATTTTATGTTTTTCCAAAATGAAAAATAGTTAACGAATATTTACTTTTGAAGATTTTAATAATAATACTCCTTTTTGATCCCTTCTATATGTGATTTCTAGAGATTAAAGGATAACTTAATAAATTAATTTCAAGTAGAACTTACCATATCTTCGCCCTTCTAAAGAGTTAATTTCAGCCACCCTAATAATTTTATAACTTATCAAATATGCATTACTTTTCGTTAAATTGTAATTCCAATCAAAATATCCTCAATAATATAATACTTGTTTACATTTTATTTTTCTGATATCTCAGCTTTACTAATTTAGTCTCAAAAGTCTAAAGTAATAAAATGGTTTGGTCAGCTTTATAAATCAAATCAATTAAAAAAATAGCATCAAAAAAATAATTGATATTGGTCTTACATTTTATATTAATAATATTATCCGAAATATACCAAATTTCGATTTGGAATTAGGCTTTAAGGATCATTACTTTTCTATTATTTCCATTTTTTCTTTTTGTTTGTAAGAGCATGTAATTTAATAACAAAAAATTAATAAACGGAAACTCAACAATAGGCCATCGTTAATTGGAGACGACTAGAACTTTAATTAATCGATTAAGGAAAAATAACAAGCTATTAATATTGAGTTTTGAATGCTGTTGAGGGTTAATTTAGGTTGTTTTCATTCTTTAACTATTTAAATGGTATTTTAACTGATTTTCAGTATTCATTAACAAATTTACAAATTTTNTACTTATTGTGTGTGATATTTCGAAAATTTTCCAAATGTGAAATGACTCTAATATAAAAAATTCATAAAGTTAATGAAATTCTAATAGTTGGTCATAATGTTGTTGTTTTGGAATGTATGATGAGAATAATTATTTTCGTCCTAAACTACTTTTTTGATCTCAGTTATCTATAAAGAAATTCCTTAAACTATTGAAGAAGTATGAAAAGAGAATTCCTAATCAAATGAAAATATCTAATCTAATCAATATTTTATCTTCGTTAATGGATTATGTGAAATTTGTATATTCAAGCTAGGGTTAATGTAAAATAGAATGGCAATCACAGGAATGGTGGAAATGGTTTCTCATCTTAATATAAATTAAAAGATCCCTCAACTCGTTTAATTAAAGAAATTCCTTCGAATATGTATAAACTCATGCAAAGTCATACATTATATCACCTTGAGTCAAAAAATATTTTGCCTAGGCGTTGTAAAATACTCTTCTCTTCAGCTCCAGTTTGTTGAAACATCAACTTAGATTTCATTAAAACATTTTATTGAATTATTTTGATTATTTATTCTTGGTAAATTAATATGACAGTTAATTATTCTTCTTACCTAAAGCATCGTAAGCCTCTTATTATTTTAATTTAGTGGAAAATAATTAATTATTGCTAATACTCGAAAAGATTAATATGATTTATTCATTTTTAACTTTAAATTTAATATCAAAGAAAATTGAATCAATCTAAAGTTTATCCTTCAAAATTATTTATTTTATGTTTTTCCAAAATGAAAAATAGTTAACGAATATTTACTTTTGAAGATTTTAATAATAATACTCCTTTTTGATCCCTTCTATATGTGATTTCTAGAGATTAAAGGATAACTTAATAAATTAATTTCAAGTAGAACTTACCATATCTTCGCCCTTCTAAAGAGTTAATTTCAGCCACCCTAATAATTTTATAACTTATCAAATATGCATTACTTTTCGTTAAATTGTAATTCCAATCAAAATATCCTCAATAATATAATACTTGTTTACATTTTATTTTTCTGATATCTCAGCTTTACTAATTTAGTCTCAAAAGTCTAAAGTAATAAAATGGTTTGGTCAGCTTTATAAATCAAATCAATTAAAAAAATAGCATCAAAAAAATAATTGATATTGGTCTTACATTTTATATTAATAATATTATCCGAAATATACCAAATTTCGATTTGGAATTAGGCTTTAAGGATCATTACTTTTCTATTATTTCCATTTTTTCTTTTTGTTTGTAAGAGCATGTAATTTAATAACAAAAAATTAATAAACGGAAACTCAACAATAGGCCATCGTTAATTGGAGACGACTAGAACTTTAATTAATCGATTAAGGAAAAATAACAAGCTATTAATATTGAGTTTTGAATGCTGTTGAGGGTTAATTTAGGTTGTTTTCATTCTTTAACTATTTAAATGGTATTTTAACTGATTTTCAGTATTCATTAACAAATTTACAAATTTTCTTGCCTTTATAATTTTTAGATTTTTGTCCTATTTTTCATAAATACTAATTTTTACAGTTTTATTGATTTTATTAAATTTTACTCTTAAACGAAAATTAAAAAAGCAAATGATTGATACATAGGATATTCTCTATAGAATAATAATTCATATTTTCAAATGTGATTTTTGTTTCCTGATTTCTATTTCTTTTTATTAAACTCCATATTCTAAAAAACACTGTGCAAAAAAAATTGAAGTCATTAAACATATAAGAGTACTGTTAAAGAAAAAAAATTAAGAAGGATAATGATTAGACAACTTTAACAAAAAAATTACTCAGATCAAAAAATTCTATAATTTTGCTTGAAACTGTTTAGGTCTAATATTAATAGTAAAAATCTCTAATTTTTATTAAAAACAGAAAATTACTTGAGTTTAGCAAAATTCATATTAGAATAATTAAGAATTTTCTTGAAAAGATTTAGCAGCAGAGATTGAAAATACAAAATTTAGAGATCATGAAATAATTTACGTAACTTAGCTTTGAAAAATAATTGTAGTTAAACCTGGATGAGCTTGTAATTTATACGTTTTTGGTCTTTACTAAAGCTATATTTAGCAAAATGCATTAGAATTAAAAAACCCTTTTTTTAAATCGACAAGTAAATAATCCTTCTTAGGTTTCTGAAATTAGATGTTTTTCAGAGTTATATTTGACAAAGGTAGATAAAAATACAACTAAACATCCAACCAGCAATGGTGGTTTTCTACTATTAAATGTGGAGTTATCGACCTGTAAACTTAATGACACACCAATACTAGTTACTATTTGTTGGATAATCAAAAAAAATATTGTTTTCATTCCAAAACCCAAATAAACACAAGGATAATTTAAAAATTAAATCTATAGAGGAATGATTATTAATGCATTTCAAAAACATTTACCTTGATTAAATTGAATATTTCTATTGAGATCAACTGAATGTAGTAATTAATGGCCTTTTCTGTTGTTATATTTATTTTAAATAAATTCTAACCAAAAGTATTTATGGTTCTAGCTAGAATTTAATATTTATTGTTCAATCCTTTAGAGTCTAGGTTGATATGATTCCCAAAGTTGAATTCAAATATAAATAAACATCTTCCTCAGAATGTCTTGATTCAGAGAGAATGGATTTTGCAGATATGCCATCCTCTTTAAGCTAAGCTATCTTCCCTTTTCTTGCTCTCTAATCATTTGATATGTGACTGCAAGAATGAATGGACACTAGGTATCAACAACAGGGAACTAAGAGATTACTAACAGCCAGCAGGAACTGGAGGAAGCTAGGATCTGTTAAATCATTTAAAGCTTTTAAAGATCCTTCCACAGATGAGAATGGGCAGACCATAAAGCCTTACAAGTCTAATTTCCCTACAAATAGATTTCACAGCATTTGGCTTAGTGGAGAGGAAAATTCTAAATGAGATTTGATCGCGTTTAGGGAGGTAACCTATTGTTTTACCGAAACATAGATCATAAGTATAAAGACCTTAATTAAAATGGAAGCGATGTAAGATGAGATGAAAATGATGTAAGTGACTGATGATTGTGGATACTTACAAAGC